TATTTGCCCAGCAGCTGTCGGCACTAGAACGGAGAGCAAGCGCGGGGACCTACTGCCATCTGGTGGAGAACGTCGGCACTGCCGGTGGGCAGGAAGAAGGCCCTTGTGCTGGGAGCTGTGGCTAAGGGCTGGTTGTTTGATTCGTTTGCCATCCTTGTTTAGTGCACTCACCACTTGCCTGCTTTTCCAGGCTCTCACACACCAACTGCTCTGTGTGGCACATGAAGGGACCGGGAGCTCCTGAGTGTGGAGAGACAGTGTGGGACGAGGCTTACACACCTGGACACTAGTTTGATGCCCCGAGTTCAACTGACTTCCTGGCCTCTTCACGGAAGGACAGGGCTGGCCAAAAGGACAGAGAGCAGGTAGGGCAGCTCCCCAGCAGGACAGCATTGGGGTCCTACTGACACCACTGCAAGGGAAACGATGCATCAGGCCGTGTCACTCTGCGGCAGCCCATTCTGTGTCGCTCCTCTGTGGCGCACATTTCTGTTTGCCTTCCTGTTTGCTCCATGCCAGGTGATGCATAACTCTCTAAAGGAGAGGACTCTGCGTCCTCTGCCCCAGCACCCACAGTCAGAGCAGCGCACGTTCTCCTCGGCCTAGGGAACAGTGCTGAGCAGCGCGACTTTAGAATCCCAGACCATCCGTCCACATGGAGCCGGAGGACAAAAACCTCAGAGAACAACTGGATGCAAACCAATTGGATCCCACAAAGGAGAGGAGGGGACAAGCAGAACGTCCACCCAGTCACCCAACTATCCGCAGGCCATGACCTGCAGTGCTCCCCTGTGGCAAGGAAACTGGAAAGATGGAGTAAAAATCTGAAATCCACTAGTTCTCCAGTTTCTGAGAAGCCAGAAAGTGCCTCGTGGTGGAGAAAAAGCTTTACCTCTTACAGCCTTACCTTGAATAGTGGAAATTTTAAGCAAGGGTATATTTTTCAGAAAAATATTTCAACAAATACCTTCAACTTTTTTTCTGCAGGATGTTTATGTTCAACTTCTTTCTAAAAGGCGATGTCAGAATCAGAATGAGAATGAGCCAGGGTAGAGCTCAGTGGCACAGCATCTGCCTGGCAAGTGCAAGGGCCTGAGTTCGATTCCTGATGCCAAAGAGAAAAAAGAAAAGATTCTGAAAGAGAGATAAAATAGACTTCTTCCAGTGCTTCCTCCACAGAGCTACCAACCTACTAACAATGGGCCAAACTGGCGGGGCCTCTTTTGTGTCTGCAGATTCCCTCGGAGAAGTCACAACAGGGGAGTGCGTAACCAGCCTCCAGGTTGCAGTACGAACTGGCAAGTCGAAGACACTGAATGAGGCAAGCAGGGACAGATGCCCACAGCTCAGAACAGCTTGTTTGCCGGTTGCTGCCTTTTCTCCGCCATCCTCAAGGACCAACTTCACCTTCATGATACACCCATTTCCCTGTTATGTTGTGTAATTTGCAATATTTCAAAATTCATTTTGCAACCAATATGTTATTGTAGAACAGGAACCATGACCTTAAAAAACTGTTCTCTTGCATAATAATGTTGTCTTCTGTCCAAGTGGTCACACACGCACAAGTTTTCGGCTTGACCCTTGGAGGCTACGTTCAGTGCAGGATAGGGCAGGTGCCTGGCGTGTCAGTTAGAGATTACTGAGTAACAAAGCCTTCCAGAATGCAGCCTTCCCATTGCTAAGGGATGTCTGGTGCAGCTGAGCCCTTCTTGTGGGCTGAGCCAGATCAGGCTGCTTTCAGTCAGCCTCATTTTGTCTGCTATCTCCCACACCTCTGTTGGTGGCTGCTGAGTCACCGAGAGACTGGCTGGTCTAAGCTGGGCTCTGCTAGCACCACTCAACTCTGCTCCACATGGTCCATCGCTGTCCAGCAGGCTGGGGGTGGGCAGTGTTCACCCCACTGCTGGGCATCCCTGCCTAAGAGGTAGAGATGCACATGGACTGTTATAAAAAACAAACCAAATGTGGGAAGAAATGGCACTGAGGAAGTTTAGGAGGCAATGTATTATACCAGTGGGCTTGAGTGGGATATCTCCCAAAGAGCCAGGGCTCCACCTGGCAGAACTTCAAGAATTTTATGGGGAGAGAAATGAGGGAGAGACAAAGGTAGATTTGGCACATTATGATTGGAGGGTTTGGTGATGTCTTGGGTTACTAAGAGAGTTTAAACATTTCAGGTTACATTGCAAGGCCATCAGTTATACAAAGCATGGGTTATACAAAGCAAGAAATGTCCTGTTATATTTTAAGTTACATTGCAAGGTCACCAGTTGTACAAAGGCAGTAAAGACAAGGGCTCCACAAAGGAATGTTTTAAGGCCATCTGTTTGACAAGCTTACACAAAGAAAGGAATGTTCTGTTACCAGGCTTATTTGGAAACGTACATGTGTGCCTGGTCTTGGCGGGGATCCTTGACCTGCTTAATTTAAATTTTTAACTTCCCTTACAAAGTTTCTTGAGGCCTAAGCTCTGAACTAGCAGGGAGTGTCTCTCTCTCTCTACCTATTGGCAGCAATATATAACCAAAGCCAATCACTTCTTCTGGGAGGAGCTACCAAGTCACAGTGCAGGGCAGGAGGATGGCAGGTTAGAAAATCATGGAAGGCAACGGCCGAGTGCCTGTCTTCTCAGTGTCTTCAGAGCAACTGTGGCAGTGCGTGCCTCGCAGTGTTAGCAGAAGAATCTCAGAATAAAATTCTCGTTCCTAGGAAATCTGTTTCTTCTTGGCAAGGTTCTTAGGCATCCTTCCAATTAGTAACTAATACACAATAGGCTTTCAAAGAGTATTTATTTGGTGAATGTATGCCATCGAAAGTAATTTTTCAAACTCTCATTTCATAGTCATTTTTAGGACATACAGTGGTCGCATCTCAACTACTCTGAAATCAGAAACGAACTTACTATCACCATGATTTTTAAAGTATTGCATCTTAAATAAAATGTTTCATATTGATAGTATCTTGGATTGAATGAAAGTATTCAAAGTATCTATGAAGTATTTATAAATACTTTAGAAAACATTTGTGAATTTTAGGCATGCTGTCTACAAGGTTCAAATGGGCAAAAACTTCATAGGACCACTACATTCAATGAATATTCAAGCCTCCACCAATCACAATGAAGTCTACAACTACTTTTATAAGTGTAAATTTATAAAGCTGACCATTGCAAGTTTATAGAATTTTGTGTATTTATGAAAGTTTACTTCTCAAAGTTTGCAAATTGCTATGAAATATTAAACATATATCTCTTACTTTTTTCTTTATTTTATTTTTGTTTTTTGTTTCATTTTGTTTTGGGTTCTGAGAATGGAACTCACAATCTCACACTTGCCAGACAGGCACTGTGCCGCTGAGCTATATCCCCAGCTACATCCCTTACTTAATGGAAGGTATAAACATAAGTAAAAATCACTTACATTTCTAAGCATGGATGCATTTAAGAGATGTTTTTATTGTAGTGTTTGAAATTAATCAAAGGTTAAAAAAGCCTAAAATATGAAAAATTATGAAACAATGTAGGAAGTTTGAGGAGTTACAAAAAGTACCGATCCAAACCTTCTAGAAGAGTATCCTCATGATGAATGTAATCGTGTACTGCAAACATATCGTAATAAAAAGATTTAATGCTTAGTAATTTTTTCTAAATCAAGGACACAAGGAAATGAGACACCTTGCAAATGAGTTGGCAGGAAAAGCAGCAGAAAATATAGTCCACAGGGACTGCACATATTGGAGAGAGCAGACACTGATTACTAAACAACTATGTTCTCAATGTTCAAGTAAATAGACACCCAACATTGAAAATCCCCGCATGAAAAGGAAAACTATAAAAAAGTGCCACAAATAGTTTTGAAACAAAAAAATATAAAGCTTCTGACTGATAAATATGATGCTAGGGACTGAATGTTTGTATCCTTCCAAAATGCCTGTGTTGAAACCTTAAGCCCCAAAGGGTTAAGGTGTCTAAAAGGGGGTCTGCTGGAAACGGTGGGTTGAGATGAAGTCATGAAGGTGGGGTCCTTATGACAGGACTAGGGCTCTTGTAAGAAGACAGGAGCCCAGATTCCTAAACCACCCTCCTCTTCCACATAAGTATATAACAAAAAAGGAGCCACCTGCTGGCCAGGAGGACTCTGTAAAACAATCAGCTAGCCCCTTGATCTTGGACTTCCAGTCTCTAGATTGGTGGGAAATAAATGTCTGTTGTTTAAAAATAAATAAATAAATAAAAATTTTAAAACATATAAAAGTTTATGAGAAAAAAACCAGCATAGGACATTGAGAATGCAAACTATTAAAATTTTTTTAAATTCACTAAATTAATAAAACGTGAATCATCAGTAAAACATAACCTACACTAACTATGGAATAAAGGAATTAGACTTGCAACACAAAACGTTGGTAAATGAGCTTAATGACATTAAATAATTATAATATTGTGTTACTATTTATTGACATCTACAAGTTTGGTGTGTTTTCCACCCAGCAGGTATATCTACTTTAATCACATAATCTTTTTGCCATCTCTTAACCTTCTCTGTTGCCCCACATTTTGGGGAAGTTGGAAGATAAGGGCAGAAAGGAATGCAATAAGCTGTTCTTCAAACAGCTGGCTTCTCCTTTTCCTCTCCTCCTGTGATTGCCAGTGCTTTGCACACCTTCCTCCTTCCTAGGACCACAACCATCAAGTCTGGAAATGTGAGCTCACCTGGGCTCTCTGTCACTTCCTATTTACCCAAACTCACCCACCCCAGCAATGAAGTTCTTTCCTCTACTGCCTACTTTAGGGAATGATTTTCAAACTAAATATCCTTGTCTTACTTATTATGAAATTTTTGTTTTCAAAGAAAGGAAATAATCTTACTATCATCACTGAACATAGAAAACAGAAACTAGAATTTCATAATCGATGTTACATCAAGATCTACAAAACCAGGAAGAGGCTATAACTAAGAATATAACTAAGAAAAATACTAGTTACTTTGGGCTGATTTACAAAAATATTATCAGTAAACTTTATTCATTTTCCACTGACTTGCATGTCTATATTTTTTTAAATTGTCAAGTATTACAGCTTTATGAATTTTTGGTAAAGTGGAAAGGGCAAAATGCAAATCAGATCACTCTTTTTGGAGAGCTTATGACTAAAGTTTTACAGAAACACGAACATTATCTTCAAGTGGATATTGAGCGGTTGTGTGGTGGCGTGGATTGCCTTCTCACAGGAAGTATTTTCAGGAAAGCCTTCTGAAAACGTTTGTGACACAATGGATACAAAAAGGGATTAACAAAGGAATTGAACCACTGGAGCCAAAAGGCAGTATGGTACCAGGTTGATTTAGTCAAGTTCCTTTCAGGAAAAAATGAGTAGATAACTGTAGTCAGTGAATATGGAGCCCAGCAAATGGCAAAAGCTGCTAAGAGTATGGCCAGTGACTTGGCTAATTTCCTGGCTCTGAAAAGTTCGATATGTTCCCTTTGCTGAAGAGCCAGGGAATCTGAGTGGGAGAGGAAGCCCATTTTGGAAGCGATCACATTGCTGTTCTTGTAGGCTCTTATGGAAAACAAGAGACTGCTCTTTCTCCGTGACTTGTCTGAACCAAGAGAGGCAGTTGTTTCTTTCCGTGCTGGCAGAGTCGCCCTTGAATCGGGGTCCTGTCTGCAGGAGTGTCCGTGGTCACTGCTGGAAGAGTCAGAGGGGAGTACAGGGTGGCTGAGGCACCTGCTCAGTTTCTCTCGCTTCCACAGGCTCCAGTAAATATGGGCGCTGAAATAAGCAACTAACAAGATGGGGATCAGGAATTCCAATAATGATGTAGGGAGAGCAAAGTACCACTTTTTTAAAAATCCAGGTTCACATTCTGTAGTGCTATTCTGCCAAGAGTCTGAAATCAGAATCATCGGCCCATTTGTCATGAAGGAGAATATCCAAACAGCCACCATCTGAGTAGCAATTTTCCAGGTGCCAGAGTGCTGAGCTCTATACCACACCTACAAGAGACCAAATAAATCAGTTTTAACATAATGAATACATACAGATCACATAAAACATCCCAGAGTTCCAGGGATGCAAGGGAGAAGGACATTGACTTACATGGATATTGTGCCCTGTTTAGGGACAGAGGTTTTTATTTCAATAGAAGCCAAGGCAAGATGCAGACTTTAATATAGATTTTCATGGGCAAAACTACAACCCTCAAGGTTAAACCTCTGACACTACAAAAACTGTGAAGGCCAATATCTAAAATAAAACAACAGTTTTTTCTAGCTCACAGATACTAACGTGAGTGCTAAATAATTCAAATTGGGTGCATCTAATTTCTCATTCTACAAGCAAGATCATGACAGGCATTCTGTTCAATGCTATAGAATAATCAATGTTAGAAGGCATCAGACATGGTGTAGATAACATTTGATGATGTTTCTTTTGTCAACTAAAACAATACTTTTTAGGACTAGGGAGATGCACGTAGAGAGAAATGCATGCACCAGATCACAGTGCAACATGCCTTTCTCACTGTGGTCCCGGTCAAAGTCATTCACAAGCCATGGCCAGTTATTCCAATATTCTGAACGAATCTGCTCTGCAGTTCATGCTGGGTCTTCCAGATGGGGTCAAGAACAGAAAGAAAAGCCCTGTATGTGTCACTCCCAAGAACATCAGCCACAAACAGAAGGGCAGAAAGATGTTTCCACCTGCTGCGGGGAAAATCTAGTTGTATCAGCCATTGCCAAATCCCTTTTTCTGCAAGTGTTTCCAGCTGACAGATGTAAGGCCAGAGGTACAAGGTGCAGCCTCTTCGACTGCAGCAAGTGCTGCTGTCCTCTGCCAGGTGGAGAATGTTCTAGCTCCGCTGGATGACACAGTTAGGCTTCCCAAAAGGAGAATGAGATTCTGAGAGTGAGGACCACCCTCAGACCACAGGCTCCTGTACAGACCGCCAGAGTTCTCCAGAACATCTTTCAAATCTAAGGACACCCAAGGCCCCCACTTTAGGTTGTGAGGGATGCATGGCTGAACCTAGAATTTGGGGTGAGCATCTGGAACACACAACTTCTCCAAGCCTCTGTTAGATCTTCCTCCCAGCTCCCATGTCCCATATTTCTCTATCCCCTCCTTCCTCAAAATGAGAAACGATCTCCCTAAGAAATCCATGTCTCTTCTTCACTACTTCTTGTGTGCTATTTTCTCTGTGAGTTTCAACATCTTGTTCTACAGTGTTTTCATGTTTTAAAAAGAATCCAATGTAGTTTCTTTGATAGATTGTGCATGCTGAGACAGCTTACCAATGGCTAGAGATAAGAAGAAATTGGTAATTTTCTTTTTTAAAAGTTGTCTATCATTATTATTATTATTATTAACTGTAAGGGAGTGAGTTTTATTATCCTAGACTATTGTTACTTCTGAGGTTAAGCTATAATACATGTTGATCAGAATGGTCCTAACCACAAGCTCTCACATATGGTCCACTTTTTCCCCCTTCTTCTTCTCACGTCTCTAATTACTATATCTCTTGCGCTAAATGTAATGATTATGCAGATGGTAACAATACCCAGATGGTCATAAAACTGCGTTTAGTTTTTTTAATTGCTCTGTTCGGCCTTTGTAATGATACAATACAATACGCAGAAAGTGATCTCTCTTTCATTATGCATAAGGTCAATTAAGATAACAGGTATCCCAGGGATCTGAGAGGAAAACACCTTTCTCTTCATCTCTGGAGAACATTTTGACATATAGAAAGCTTAAGCACTATGTGATTCTAGTCAGTTGGTTGGAGTGGCCTCCCTAAAATCAGCAGGAGCCAAGGTCTTAACCACTACAGAATGTGTGAATTATTCAGGATAGCACTTCTTTCCGAACCCCAGTAAAATATCCAAATATCCTAACAATCAGGTTTCTTTTGTGAGGCAGAGAAGCCCACGGGATTGCACTGTGGTTAATACGACATTATAGGACCAGTTTAAGTAAGTGTCTGCTGTGAGCTGAACTGTGTCCCCCAAAAAGATATATTAAGATTCTAACTGTTATCTGTGAATGTGGCCTTACTTGGAAATACGGTGTTTGCAGATATAATCAAATTAAAATGAGATCATGTTGGATTAGCATTGACTTTAATCCTACATGACTTGATTAGGGTCCACCTAACCCAATGTGACTGGTTTCCTTGTAAGAAAATAGCTACAGAGGGAGAATACTGGGTGCCTGGTGAAGTATCAACAAACCATAGAATGCCAAGAATTACCAGCCACATTTGATGGATGCTAAGAGGAAGGGACGGATAGATCCTCTAAACCTTCGGAGAGAGGACAAATCTGTTAACACCTTGATTTCTAACTTTCAGCCTCCAGAACCTTAAGACAATAAGATCCCATCATTTTGGTCACTCAGTGTGTGGTGCTTCTGTGTGGCGGTCTTCATCTTACTGTCAAGTTTCTTTCATTGTCTGCAGGTACAGACATACTCTTCTGTCTCCATCTTTACTCCATGAACACTTTAATTTTCATTCCTTCCAGCTCTGATCCAGCCCTGTTCTCCATCCCTCCTCACCCACCCTTGCTTCCCCTACCCAGAGTCTGCCCCTGCAGAAAGCTTCTCTGAGCCCTCCAATCTCACATAGCCATCCGCACTGAGCTTCTCTTTTTTGAATTGTTATCAGATATCCACTCCCTAGGCCTGGTCCACTCTTTTTCCAATCACACTGTCTCTTCTACTTTGAGCTTCCCACCTGCCACCTCCTATGAGCTTCCAGGGGGTTAGAAAGCTTCCTTCTGGTTTCACGAGGCTATGTGTGGTTTCACAAGTCTGGGCAGCAGAGGTACAAGCACCACCTGGGGAGCCTGACAACATTCACGCATTCACATGGTCCTTCATGGAGGCTTCATGAGGCTCTGTGCTGCACGCTGAGGATCCAGACACCAGCCTGCACCTCCTTGCAGCCTGCACTGCCAAGACCTCCCAGGGCAAAAGTAGATCAAAGTGCACGCGTGCACACACACACACACACACACACACTCCACCCACTTCCCCTCCAGGCATCATTCTTCATCTCTGTAATATCTAAGAACTTTTTCTAACTGGGTAGGCAGTACCTTATCTGCTCACCATCCCGTAGGTAGCTTCAAAAACTTGGACAGCTAGTGATACAAAACGTAAGACTATTCAATGAAGATTAAAAGGAAATACTAACCCAGAAAGACAGAAACATTGAAAGGTACAAATAGGGAAATTGCTGGTTTCAGATATTTAACTGCGTCTAAAGCAAGAAATATATTTTATATCATAACCAAATGATTAGACAGAATTCATAATAGTTACCATTATGATGTGCAAGGTACTCTGACATTTCCCACTTTCATTCTGTTCTATGCTGCTCTATTCCATATTTTCTCTTTAATAAAAAAATCTAATCACAACCCACTGAATTTATTTCATGGTTCAAAAATGGGTAAAGGTGTGTAGTTTGAGAAACCTGAGATTACTGGTATATGAATTATTGATCCATAATGATACGTGCTTTCTCCACAGTTTGACCAATAAAAATTTCAGTGGACCTGGCACCGATGAGGTTCCCAATGACAGCTTGTGGAGTTGGTTGGCTGCCCCACCATGTCCATTTTACCCCTTCTCCTGGCCACATGGTAGCTCAGCCAGAGACTACATTTCCCAGCTTCCTTTGCAACAAGCGTGTGATTAAATTCTACCAGTACAATGTGATGGAAATGGCAGCATGATTCTGCACTACCTGGTTAAAAGAAAATCCCTTGCCTTTGACTTCTGTCCTTCCCACTTCCTATCTGGAATCTAGCTAGAGTCACAAAAGCCTGACTATAATCATGCAGGGGATAATGACCTACAGCAGGAGCAAGCAAACTACTGTCCAAGGAACCAACATGGCCCACCAGTTGTTTTTGGAAATAGTTTTATTGGGACATACCCAAAGACTTTTTTTTTCATGTATCATGTATTGTGCTGTGGAACAGCAGAGCTTAACAGTTATAACCAAGATAGAAAGTATTTACTATCTTACCTGGAGTAGTAAAAGTTGGCTGGCCCCTGCCCTAGATGGTGTGCCCCTCTAGTGAGTGGGTCCTTGGGTGAGTTTCTCCGGCAGAATCTTCCCTCTCTCCTGGGAGAGATAAAGAAACTTCTGTCCTGCTGGAGCCTCGTTGGAATCTCTTTGTTCCAGGAGTTTGTCCTGGACCTTATCTAACATCTTCTCCCTGTCCTGTTGGCCTCTAGGCCACATGGTCTCCAAGATGGGACCCATCCCATCTATGCTGCCAGCGCAGCACTCAGATTGCTTGTGGATCTACCCCCACATTGACCATATTCCCCTCACATAAATGTCCTTCTTAGTCCCTTTTCTATTCCAGCACTTAGCACAATACCTCTCACATAGTAATTCCCCAAAGGTTTGAGCCCCCTAGACTCAGAAGTGAAAGAAATTGCCCAAATATTTCAAATCACTACCCCACATTTCTATGCTCCCTCTTACCCTGTTCTCTGTTTTCTCCAGTGCTCTGTTGTTGAGAATTTATCTTGCTTAAAAATTCTTACTAACTCACTGATTAAACTATTCCAGATTTTGACTAAGTTGAGACTTCCTTGGCAGAAGCCCTAAATTGGCCTCGGGATTTGGTCTTTCTGGCTGGTCCCACTGTACAACCTGTCTTCTCCTCTGACCATTCAGAATTGATTTTCTCTTTCTATTCAAAAATCTGAGATTATTTCTATTTGCTCACCAGTTTCCATCCTTTGGAAAATATTTAGGCCTAAATTTGCCTGCAGAGTGGAACGGAGAAATCTACTGTGAATCTCATGTATATGCAACCTACTAAATACTCAGTACATCATTCTCGAGCTCTCTTTGGTGGTTTCCCATTTCATTGGCTCATAAAGCAATGACTTTCCCCAGTCACACAAAGACCAATGAGAACAGAAGAATGGAATTCTACTGCGTTTTCTCAGTCAAATAAATATTGTACCTAATTTTTTTTGGTGGGGGGATGACAATGCAACTCAGTGGTAGAGCACATGCATGTACAAGTCCCTGAGTTTCATTAATCTCCAGTACCAAAGGGTGGGGGGACAAAATTTAAGTACATTCATATGATTATCTAAGGAAACTAAATTAACATTTGGACTTACGGCATTTGAGACTGACTGGTAGCGATCGTAGCTGATGAGGACAATATTATACACAGATGCTGTACATAAAAGATAGTCAGTAATGAGCCAAAATACACAAGCTTGCTTTCCAGAAGTCCAGTAAGTCAGCGAGGAAGGTATGTACAGAGGAATTGCAATTGCACCTGCAAAGGGAAAAAAATTGCACACCTCAATGATTATCAGGAGGCTTATTTTAATGGACAAATGATGAATTTACTAAAAATAGCTTGATTATTGCTGTGATTTTGATGATTGTCCCCAAAGATAGATAGATAGACAGACAGACCTTGTCTCCAAGGTGATGGTAGCAAGGGGTGCTTTGGACCTTTAGGAAGTGGGGTTTAGTGGGAAGTCCTTGGGTAACTGAGGTCATGACCTTGAAGGGGACCAGGGGACCCCAGCCCCTCAGTGTCTCTGCTTCAAGGGTCTCAATGTGAGCACTAACTCTGACATCTGCTCCCACCATTGCCTCCTACATCGCTTTCACAAGGCCAAACTGGCCAGTCACCTAATCTTAGATTTGGACCTTCAAACTATGAGCAACATAAACCTTTTCTCTTTATAAGTTAATTGTCTCTTTTGTTTTGGTATAGTAATGCAAAGCTGAATAACACAATTAAATATAGAAATTCATGTTATTTCATCCAGCAGTCTGGGACTGGTGTCCTATACATTTTTAAATGTGATTTTTATAATAATTATCATGAACATTGGACCTCCAATGACTCCTTATCACTTTCCAAATTAAGTGTGATCCTGACCACTATTTCCAGCCATAGACGGCATAAACCATCTCTATGTTCTTCATGAGCCACTCAAACAGGATGGGCTGCCCTTCCCCAAACACATCACTTTTTGACATTTGCTGACTTCATTCATTCATTATATTGCTTGTTTGTTTGTTCATTTGCTTTTGTAGTACTGGGGACTAAACCCAGGGAATGCTGAGCACACCCCCCAACATCTCCTTTTATCTTTTTACTACTATATTTTGATACAGGGTCTCAATCATATGCCCATGCCAGCCTTTAACTTGCCATTCTCCTGCCTCAGCCTCTTGAGTAACTGGAGTTACAGTCATGCATCAACACACTCAGCAGCCTACTTCATCTTTTTCTTTCTAGAATACCATGTGTGAGTGTGTGTATGTGCGTGCGTGTGTGTGCACATTTACTTCCTGGCCACTCTTCCCTAAAGTCAAAAAGGAACCTCTTCCCTGTATCTTTCTCAGAACTCCTTTGGCAGAAATGATCCCTCTGTAGGTTGAAGGGAGAAGAAGGGAACAGGGGGAAAACAGGAGTCAAAATACATCCTGTATGGATATAAATTCCTATGATGCGTGTGATCACTGTGTTATCTGAATTGCACCAATAAAATTATAAAATTATAAAGAAGTGACCCCTCTGCCACCTGCACTCTCCCAGCACTTTGCCACTCTTGTCTCTTCGCCAGTGCATTAATTATATTCCATATTATATCACAATCATCATTTAATCAGTGTCCCCCAAGGACTAGGACCATGTTGCAAAGCAGTGTTTTACTCCTCCCACACCCAGACTAACTTGCACAAGGGTTCGCACACTAGATTTCATAACAGTTAATATCTACAGTGACACGTGCTAGGGCACTGTGCTCTGCACATTACAAATAATCATCTCACTTCATACAAACTATGTGAGGCCGACTTGCCAGATAAAGAACCTAAGACTCAGAAAGGAGCCAATTAGCTAGTTAGCCACTTGGCTAGTAAGTGAGAAAAAGGCTGGATTTAAAATCAGAAAATATGATTCCAGAAACTCTGACCACAACATGCACTAAGTCAGCAAATAGGTAACACCTACCACAGCAATGCAGCCCAGCACAGAAACTGCTTACCTGTGAGAATGACTAAGCGGGGGTCCCTTTAGGGGTTTTTAACTGGGCTGAAGTTTCAGAAAGGTGTCACTACTTGCTGAGAATACAATCAAGGGAGAGAAATCTCAATGGAAATCTGATCTTGCTGACTGCCATCATATTTTATAAAGGACTTGTAGAAATTCTCATTTTTTGGTATGCAAACAAAATTAGCCTATTTTTAATAACAGTAAAGATGAAAGAAAGGAAAAGGAGGAAATAAGTCCTACATTCCTCCCAAACAAGACATTGTGAAGCTGTCCTGGGACGGAACCAGTGGATGGAAACGCAAACTCAGTAACCTTACTAGGTTTATGGACAGAGGTGGGAGGCAGAACACAGCATAAAGATGGAGCTCCACTGCTTACAGATGGTCCAAATAATCTGCTCGCATCGTGTCTCGGCTGTTGTTTTTGGTTTTGTGAGACAGGGTTTTAGTATGTGGTTCAGGCTGGCCTCAAACTCATGGTGATCCTGATTACAGGTATATGCCACCATGCCCATCTTCAGTTGTATTTTTAATAAGTAAGCTTTTTTTATTGTGCTTTTCATCCCGTCAAAAGGTTGTGTGTGTGTGTGTAATCTTCACCTGAAATAAATCAAAGCTTCACAAAAACAGAGACACTTACAAGTCAAAATGCCTCAAAACCAGAGATCATATTTTGGCCCTCGGTTGTGGCTTTCAGTATTCCCAGCATGCAGATTTTCTACTCATTTCTTCTGCAGATGCCAGTAATCATTTGCATTGTAGGCACCGCTGACTTAAGGGTAAAGGGAGGAGTCTAAGTTAAATACTCTTTTCCACACACTTTCTGAATTCTATGAAAGAGGAAGGGTGTGTTCAAAACCTTAGGAGCTGCCTTAAAACCCCAATTCTACCCTAGTGGTGGTGAACCTATGGCACGTGTGTTTGTGTCATTGAAAGCTCTGAAACCTTTGCATCACCGCTCTCGTCTCTTCCTTCGGTTTTGATGAGACCCTACCTGCATCTGTATTCTACGTGATGCCTCAGTATAAGTGTGCTCTCTGTTCCTCTGCTTAGGGAGTGATGCAGATGTCTGTGGTTCATTCCAAAGGAATTTCAGAGAAGCAAAACTGAACTATTTTCTGCTATACCTCTTCCTAAATGTGTGCACAACTTCTGCTCTGGAATTTTCTTTCCAGGTCACATGGACTTGGTCAGTTAAAACCAAGAGCCAGTTCTTTGAACAAAGCAATAAGCCTTTGGTGCATCTGATTATTTTAAGGAAAAACAAACCAAAACTGTATTAGCCAAGTACAGTGGTGTACACCTGTAATCCCAGCACTCAGGAGGCTTAGGCAGGAGCACTACAGTTCAAGGCCAACCTGGGCTATGCAGTGAGTTCAAGGCCAGCTTGAAGTACACAGTAAGACCTTCAGAGGCAAGGAGGTGAAAGAACAGGAGGATGAAAGAAGGGATGGGAGGATGAAAAGAGCCCTGTAAGATTAGGGACTTGCTTCCCCAAGCTGGCCTTCACCCTTCTCACCCTCTGCACCAGGCTCTCTGTCCTAAATGCATAGCCCATCTTCCCACCACTCTCCCTTGTGCCTGAGGCTCTGTGACACAAAGTGCTCTTTCCCTCAGAGCTCCCAGAGGTGCTGTCTTTGCTCAAGTATGTGTCAGCCAGCTCTACCCAGGAAGTAGAAAACTGCATCTCCCACTCCAATGCACTTCCCAACTCTCCCTCATCCCTGGGGTATTTTTCTAAATAGCAATTATCACCCCCTAAGGTACTAGATGGTTTAACGCACTGACATCTGCTATTTCTTATGTCTCCCGACCTGGACACCTAGTAGAAATGGAAGCCCCGAGGGGCAGGAATTTCTGTCTGCACTTTCACTGTTGCTCTAACCGCAGTACCTTGGGGGAGCACCTGCTTCACAATAAATAACTGGACGAAGGAATAAATGAGGGTGCTGCTAGTGTGGTATGGCCCCCTCTAGCCCAGCCAGCCTTCTGGGTGAGAATGGTGAGCCAAGGTGCTGGGGTTGGCACCTCACAGCCCAGGAAACCCTTAGGGGCAGCCCAGGGCTGCGTGGACATGGAGACTGTGTGGAGGTATTAGGGAACAAACGCCTATGTTCCTTCCCAAGTTCATATCTTGAAAGCCTAACCATTAGTGGGGCTCTAGTTGCAGATGAGACCTCTAAGGGAGAAGTTGAGGATAATGGGGTCACAAGGGTAGAGCCCTATGTAATAGGAATACTGTCTTTAGTGGCCGGGGATTTAGCTCAGCAGCATAAGCAACCTGCCTAGCAAGTGTATGGTCCTGAGTTCAATCCTCAGTACCAAAAAAAAAAAAAAAAAAAAAAAAAAAAAAAATATATATATATATATATATATATATATATATATATATATATATAAAACAGAGTGTCCTCTCTCCATCTTTTCCAGTCTTTCCCTCTGTCCACACACACAGAGAAAGGCCAGGTAAGTACAGGAGAAGACTGTTGCCTGCAAGCCAGGAAACCAGCCTTTACCTGGAGCCAGCCGAACCTTGATCTGAGATGTCCCAGTCTCTAGAACAACATCAACTCCTGTTGTTTAAGCCACTTAGACTGTGGTATTTTGTGACAGCAGCCTAAACACACTAATACAGAGAGCAAGAGAAGAATCTCAAACTGGCACATCAAAGTGTTAAAGATAAACTTTACCATCCTGAGAATTCATCTCAGGCTTTATAGCAGCAGCCACACTGTACTCCCATGTGCCACATGGTCGTGTCAGTCGTAAATGCACATTCTGCATGCTGCCTGCTTAAGAATCTCCAATCCAGTCTGATGCTGTGCAAAGGCCTTCGCGATACAGATTCCAACCTGGTCCCTCCCAGCCAGTTCTGCCAGTGCTTCTCTTCTCTCCATCTCTGCCTGTGGAAATTCAATCTGTCCCTCAAAGGTCCATTTCAGATGCCATTCAGGGTGTGCTTCAGGCACCCCTCTTCTGAGTGTGCACTGCACCTGGTGATTTTTTCTGTCACTCCCAGTGCTCTTTGTCGCTGTAGTCAACTTCCCTTATCCACTGTGCTACATCAAGACTTTACTGAAAGATGCGGCAGCCTGCTCTTCTGTAGATCTCCTGATTATCTAAAATACTTGTGCACCTAACAGTATCTATATGTCCTGTGCATTGCACTAACGTTTATGAATTTGGTTTGGGTTGACAAATATCAGCGAAAAAATCAAAGGAGAAGGGCACTAACATTTGTTGAGCAGCCACTGCATTCCAGGCAATTAACTATTCTGTGAGTTTTGTTTTGTTTCACTATGAATGCAAGTTTTCTGGTGCTGTAATAAAAATAATCTGAATATGCCAGATTCAATCATACTGGAAGCTTCTGTGAAGCAAGATCAGCAAGCTGACAATTCTGCATGTATATTTATTATAATCATTGCATAAAAATGGTAAGATTCAGGGTATGAAAAACTGCAAGGAACATGTTTTCAGAGAAAGATTAATTTGATTTTTTATGGCCTCTTACTATTGCGCAATACCACGATATACACAGGCTAATTTAGTGTTGGCTACATTTTATGAAATGTGTTGCTGTACCATAAAATAACACTGGTAACCACACTGTTTAATGACCTGGATATCCCATTTTCTAATTGTGCTGGTCTCTAGCCCATATACTATTACTATCACCAAACACTGATACCAAAGAAACTATATTTAGAGATGAATATTTATAAATGTAAACATTTAAGGAAAATAGCTCCAGGAACAACTCTTATGCTAAAACAATTTTACAACTATTCTAGACTTACTTTATTCTATAAAATATAAATTTTTAGATGAAAGTTCTATCACGTTGATTTATACATCTATAACACTCTCTTAAAGTACCATATAAACTTTTTACCCAAACTGTAATACTTTTTGTTTTTAATTCCCCCCCCAATCTCCTATAGTCCCCTAACAAGAGCTTAATTTAAGACTTTAAAGATAATTATAATTACAAAAGATTATTTAAAGTAAAGACATACAACTTACCCACAAAGAAGTCTGCAATGGCCAAGTTAAGAAAAAAGTAATTACTTCGATGTCTAAGATTTCTGTCCACAATAAAAGCTAAAATGACCACGACATTGCCTAACATTATAGCAATAGCTAGTAAAGACATTAAAAATGTCAAAGAAATTTTAATTGATGTTAAGGCGATTGTACTGTTATTTGCCAACATCTTATCAAATGATGGAAAGAATCTAAGCAGCAAATTTATCCTACCAGAAAATCCTGACAACTATATGTTGTCCAACCAGATGCCCAATATATAGCTGTCTGCTCAGAACACTTTCTGAATCTCATGCTGATCTCACAGAACTTCCTGATTCCTGATAAGAATCAACTTGTGGTAATAGTTTCCGGTTAACTGACACTGAGAAAGTATTTCAAATAAAACAGTGAAATGTTTCATCTTAAATAATTTAATGTGATTTATCCATCTCCCCGTGATAGAATATTATACACTATCTATAAAATGTAATTGTTAAGAAAAATGGGTAGTAAGCTCCAGTGAGATTCCTTTTTAAAATTAATTCATATCCAGTGACAGATTCTTTTCTGGCCATGATGTGGTGACAGGAGCTGAATTTCACTGTCCCCTCGGAAACCAAAAAGCTGGACAGTGCTTTTCGTGGCTCTGCGCCTGAGGCAGTGAAGGATAATGATCTCTCAGAGATACAAGGAAGGAAGGAGAGCCCAGCAGAGGACGCCCTAGCTCACTGAGCATCTCCTTGGGAGGAAGGGGAAATCTTGGCAGCGCCTCGCAGACTCCCTGGGGTGAAAACAGGGAGATGAGAATCAGGAGGAGCAGAGAAGTCTCTGGACTGCAGAGCTGCCCTGAGAAAAGAAGACTCCAGCCTGCCCAGGAGTGCAGTTCAGCTCAGTGTAGAGAAAACGGTCTTAGCAAACAGAACCATTTGAGAAAATTAGCAAAAACAGAAGCCAGCGCTCACCAGGGCTGGCTATACAGTTCCTGCAGCCAGAGGGTAAACAATTACAACTCAGGGACAGCTGGGCAGTATATGCTGAAAGGTCTTGCCTTGGCAGAGGGAGATGATTACTCCTACACTAAGTATTTCTTGAGTCCTGCCTAACAACTTCCAGAAGCAAAACCAAAAAGAATCAAACTGTTTCCAAGCAATCTAACTATAGCCCTAAACACAGCTCAAGAATATTGACCAAGACAGGGAGCAACACAAAGGGAAGTTTTTTTGCTTATCCCCCCTGATAGCCTGTAAGTTGCTAATGGCCAAAAGTTACGTTTTGTTTCTTTTTGTTCAAGTATGATAAGCATACACAAGTATACAAATCTTAAGTATAGATTGATGAATTTTAACACAGTGAACTAACCCATATCAACAAGTACCTCTGTGTGTACCTTTTCCGGATTTTCTATGCTAACAAGCAAGCACTATCCTGACATCTAAAATCATTTTAATTTTGTTCATTTGTGTGTTTTACAAATAGAATTATACAGAAAAAAATTTATAAAAATACTTCTTCATACATGTTCATCCATACAGCCTATATTTACTTAGATGTTAAATAATAAAGATGTCATTATATGCCATTCTATTATAAGTTTATCCGCAATTTATTAAAGTGAGAGAAGAAAAGAACTAATCACATTTCCCCTTTTATAATTTCACTGGAAGTAGAACACTTTTTCCCATTTGCTAACTGTAACTGGAGCCTGGAACTCCTTTACTGAATAGTTCCAGCTAATACCTATTCATTCCTTAAATATCACTCAAAAAGCAAGAATCAGATCTCAGTAGTGACAAACCAAATACCTCTGACTTCAGAACCTACGCCTTTTTCAGTCTAAAATTCACCAGCAGAAAGGTACAGTTCCAAGAGAGATAAAGCAAGCTCATCATTCTCACCACTGCACCCCATCCCCTTTTTGAGACATGAGCAAAAGAAACAGAGTAACTTTAGGACTTCCTATTTCCAGTTCTGCAGATCAAGATGCGACAGGAAAGAAAGGCGGCCCAGCCCTTCTCTTTTCCCTCTGACAGTGAGGAGGGGCCTGACTGCACCGAGCCGGTACACCGCGCCCCTCCATGCTTAGGGCTCCTCAAGGGTGACTTTCCCAGCTTCCTTGGGGCTGCACTTCCCACACAGGAGCTGCCACCCCGGCAGGCTCCTGCTGCTACTCAGGGCTCTACTGCCACCTCTTGACAGAGTGGCTGAGAAATCAACTCATAAGAATGACCTTGCTCCTCAGCCCAGCTGGGTTATTGGATACCTTAACTGAACTGTCCCAGGCCGGTGGCCAGGAAATCTCAAAGCAAACACACTGTATGCCCATTTGGGTTACCTTGCTTATGCAAAGCTCTAACTGGAAAAGATCCTTATTGAGGTTCTCTTTAATTTAAAAACTTAAGTACTGTAATTGTGCTAACTACTCTTTGCCTATAATTTGTGGGTACTGGACAAATTTTAAAAAGAACTGAAGGGTTGCTAATGAGGAATAAGTAGCCCTGCTGTGGATATGTCCCATGAGGAAACACTGTCAAATCATGTAACTGGAATAAAGGAATTTGGCTGTGTTAACTAGAGACTTGAAATCCTGAAATAGCAGAGACACTGACTCTAATCATACTTTCATGAAAAAGGTGGCTTTGTAGGGAGGGAGAAAATAATGGAATACGATTATGTCTGTTTTATTTTGTACCATTTATTACCATGTATATGCCACATACAACATGATGCTACTGTACAAAAATACAGAAATCATAGGCAAATTTAATATTGTGGAAGCTGATAAAACTTATATCGAGGTAGTTGATCAAATGTGCTGTGAAATTGAATTAGAGAATATTTAGGCTTGATTAATGATAATTTTATAGTTAATCCAAAATACATGACAATTCATGCATTTTGTACTAATGTCATTGGATCATTCAACTGTTTGAGTCTATACCAACTTTTTATCAATGATCAAGGATGTTTGAAAGCAGGAGCATTTTGATTTTCTATGTGATTATGTGCCACTGTAAGGCAAGTACTGTGCTTGCTGTGAAACCAGGAGTTATCATTTAGACTTAAAAAGACCTTGGTCACAAGTGGGGAAGGAGGTCAGATGCCAAGTATGCTGAGGGTTAATTCCAGAAGGGCTAGAATTGTCCTGAGCTGTTTTGCTTGTGTACTAGCAAGGCCCTAATTCTGAATGAAGGCATGAAATGTATCAGTGAAGAGTACTGTTTCATAACTACGTGTCTGAGGGATTTGGAGTAAGTTTGCTCCAGTTTTAAGCACTATTTATTGTCACCAGTTTCGGATGACTGTACCTGATTTCCCTCCACAATACCTCAGGGGCTGTACTGCTGAGGCTGATCACTTAGCAAAAATATGCCTGTGTTACCAGCCAGGTATCAAAAACCCTGGAGAGACTCTATTTGGGGCTCTTTGGATTCAAAGTATTCCACACACATCAGTACTAGAGAGGCAGTACAAGAATGTGGCCCTTACAGGGACAGGACATGCAGCTTTGGGGGGACATTGCAGATCTCCACCACGCCCTGCCACCATGATGTTGTGCCTTACAGCCATCTAGCCATGGACTGATACCTCTGAAACTGTGAGCAAAAATTTAAAACCCTTCTTCCTTTAATTTATGCTGGAAATCTTTGTTCCGGTTGCTAAAAAATACTAATACAAAAACCACTCCCTAGTGTTGGAAAAAATGTGCAAAAAATTGGGGTCGTAAACAAGAATCGTAGAACCCTGTTTGGCTCACAGCTCTCAGCCATCTAATGGCTTCTTGGTCCACAAGCAAAGGAACCAGGCTAGGTAAAAATGAGTCCACAAGCAAAGGAACCAGGCTAGGTGAAAATGAGAAACCTGATAACTAAGTTTTTGGTCAGTTGACAATCAGTGTCATATACATGTTTGATTACAAAATCTGTGGTTTACCCTATGGGCTAAACTGTGGGTTACAATGAGCTAATATTTCTAGCAGAGGTTGTCGAAAATACCAGAAAGCTTGCTGGCACCTTTATGTCTTACAGGAATATTACTGAATGAGACCAACTCTGTATCTTACGGAGTCCCCTTAGTATGCAGGCAGCAAGGGAGTGATCAACCCCACATCAGGCTTTCTTCCTCTCCTCAGTAGATGAGTTCTCAAAAGCCAGGCTGTCTTACTATGTCAGAAAACCCCAAGTGCACTCTTCTAGATTTGCAAGAAATACTCATAGAATTCAAAAGTCCATTGTATCAGAGTTATGGTTTATTATAGTAAAGAATACAGATGTAATAAAAGCAAAAGGTGAATCCCAGGAGAGATCAGACTCAAGCTTTCAATTGTTCTCTCCCACTGAAGAATATGAACAGGCCTAATTCTCCCACCAGTAAAATGTGATAGACACAAACACACTAAGTATTACCAACCAGGAACCCTCACCTGAGGCTGAGTATCCAGAGTATTTACTAAGGGCCAGCCACCTCTATCACATGGCCCAAGACTCCACCCTAAATCACCTTGTAAGCAAAGGTACCGGTGAACAAAAACACTTCCAATAGGCAAAATATTCAAAAGTCAGTTCCCACATGCTGGTCAAAGGCCAACCCTATGTTAGTAATGCGCAAGGTTCAGGTAACCCACCTGAGTCAATTCTTTACTCCACGCTCATTATTCTCCAAAAGAGCACAAGCAAAGGAGACAAAAGGAGATCACTTCTGCAAAAACAACAGCCAAGAAGCTGGATGGAGAACAGCCCAGGAGAAGTTAAAGAGCTGTGTTTCCTCAGCTTATAGCAGGCTCCTTCCTAGTCACCTGTGGGCGACTCTTTTCAGCTATTTTGTCCTCTTCTTGGTTTTTCAAAAACTCTCAACCAGGTTGAGGACCACTAGGCAGAAGCAACTTAGACAAAGATGGGACTGTTGTAGAATCAGATGTCATTAAACGACAGAAAGGTTTAGCTGCTCCTTCAGAAATGAAGGCAAATTAAATTCAGAAACTGAAAATCATACAGAAAAAGTAATGCAGCTTAAAGGAAAAGAAACAGGTCAAAATATGAAAAAGAATGAAGAAAAAATTACAAAGAAAATAAAAAATTGAGTGGAGAAGAAAAACAGACTGATCCTCCTCTTTTCTCTTGGCAAAACTGCTAGAAAATCTGGGCATGGTGATGTCATTTTGGTCCCTGTTAAGGAAATGGAACATGCGAGGGGTGAGCTGTGGAGCCTATCATCTGATGGGTAAAGGTAAGAAAGATTCTTAGTTCAGTGTTCAGCTGCCTACATACACTTCCCAGTGATTGGTCAAAGT